CACTGGCTCAGGAGATGAGCTTTGTAGACCACTACCTGCTCTATTTCAGGCAGCAGCTTATCACCCGTCCACTGTTGGACCTTCTGTCCTTCCAGCCTTTGTTTACTGAAAGTTCGAATGGAGATCAGCTCCTTGCTCCTCCCCTGTTCTCCGGCACACTTATAGCACCCTGACCCTTCTGCTGTGTGTTAGTTTTCAGTTCCTTTTTTATTCAGTTTTTTGGATTTCTTTTTGAAGGGCGGAGGGTCAGTCTGTCCAGGGGGCTATGCTGGTTTATCCCCGGGGTGGCTGGGGGAATACCGTGTGACATATTGGTGCTCACCTGTTGGTTTGCCGAATGTCTCCCAAGCAGGTTTTGAGCAAGCATTTGGCAGTTTGGGCTAGGGGTTCAGGGTATTGAAGTTCTGATTCTTCTTGGTGCTTTATTTCTGCCAAGTGTGGCTCCAGTGTCTCAGCAAGACTTTTGATTTACAGAGCTCACACTGTCTGCTTCTGCACCCTAGTCACCACCTTGGATCCTTGTGGAGTTGCCTTTTGAAGGAGAGCTGTTGCCTCATTGCTTCATGTTTCTGCATTGAGCTTTATGCATCTAGGGTGGTTTTTGATTGGAGAGTCCAATCCCCTGTGTCCTTTTAGTTGGGGATTTCTGAAAGATTATTTAGGACTGAGTAATGGGTGAGTTCTGGCTTGTTTTCTTGTCTCAAGATGGGGGTGTAAACAGTCAATGTTTCAGTTTCTTGTTCTCAAGATGCTGGGTACCATCCCCTATTCCACACAGACTGAGGAGGCTTAATGGCTAAAGCTATCATAGTTGCTAAGCTGCAGCCCTGAAGTTACAGCAGTTCCTAAAGAAGATCAATTATTGCTACTGTTCAAGTATCTTTAGTAATCTACTGGAGCAAAAATGAATCTTCGTGATCCTGGAAGAAGCCTGTTGGTAAGCCCCAAATGAAGACTTTTGTCTTCATTGAATAAAAAAAAAAGACTTTTGTCTTCATTGGTGGGAGTCACCACAGTGGGACTGGAAGTCTGGTTTGCTGTTGCCATGGTCACCAACACTACCAAAGCCACCACCACTACCAAAGTCACCACCACTACCACTGTGCTCCAGGCACCTTCTTTGTTCTGAGATGGCCACATAGTACCATGTTTCCTGTGACCTCTGTGAGCCTCCACTTCTACTCACAGGGTCCCAGAAGCTTTTCTGGGACAGATTTCTGCTCAGACACCAACCTTTGCCATCACTCCCACTGCCACCCTAGTTACTTCTTAAAATATATCCATTTATACTCACACATAACTCATTCTTTACAAGCATAAAAACATTAGTTTGAAATTTTTCATCATTTTACAACATATAATAAAAATTTCTCCATATTAGAATGTGTATTTCTATATTAATCTTCCTAACAGCTAAGTAACATTCCTTGTATTAAAGCATTCATTTGCCTAGTCAACAAATATATCTATTAAATCTATTAAGAGTTCATTAGGTGCCAGGCACTGTAGTCAACTCTGGGAATATGTCAAAACTCCCTGTGCTCCTGGAAGTAACATCCTATTGAAGCTGGAAAGAATCATGGCAAAGGAGGAGGACTGGGGAAAGTAATAATGTACCTAACCAATTCCTACTGAGGAATATGCATGAATGTTGACACTAAATTTTTTAAATTTTATTATTTTTAAACTGATATACAAAATTTTATATATTAGTCACATAAAATATGTTTTAAAGTATATCTGCATTGTGGAATGACTAAATTTAGCTAACACGTTGTTTTGCTACTTTAAACCATGTTATCACTAAAATGGTGATCAGACTTTTCTGAACAGTTGTGCAAATACTCCTGGGATATACATTCCTAGAATTAAATTATTGAAACAAGAAATGTGAGATTTTAAAAATTTAAAAGATATAATTAAAATTTCCCTTTAAAAAGTTTCACTTTACAGTCCTAAAACAATACATGAAATGGATATCCTCTCAAGCTTATTAAAAAACTATTTTCAGGTGGGCAGGGTGGTCTGTATCTATAATCCCAGCTACCAAGGTGGCAGAGATCAGTAGAATAGCAGCTCAAGGCCAGCCTGGGCAAAAAAATTAGTGATAACTTATCTCAGAGAACAAGATGGGCATGCAGGTACACAAGTGCAACCCAGCTATGTGGGAGGCACAGGTAGAAGAACCATGGGCTGAGGCCTGCCCAGGGCAGGCTCTATCTGAAAAATACTTAAAAACCAAAAAAGGGCTGAGATGTAGCTCTAGCGGTAGAGTACCTCCCAGGCAAGCATGTGGCCTAAATTTCAAACTTCACCATCACCAAAAAAAAAAAAAAAAGTAAATTATCACATATTTTCAATTGTGTCAAATTTTGTTTGGCTGATTAGCTTTGGTTTTTTCATATAGGATCTTGCTGTGTAGCCCAGACTGGCTTTGAGTTCAAGATTGTTCTGCTCAGCCTCCCAAATGCTAGGCGTATAGGGATGAACCGCATACCAGGAAATTCTAAATGTGCCTGTTTCTTTTTCTATTAGCATATGTTAATTGTACAAAGTGGATACCCTGTGAAATTTTCATATATACACCCCTCTATTTGTCAAGTTCCCCCCCTTACCTCTCCCCACTTCTTTTTTACAATTTTAATGGGTTTTGTTATGCTATTTTCATATATACCTATAATGTACTTCGATCACATTCACTCCCATCACCTTCTCCCTTCCTCCTTCACCCTTGCCTCCTCCCTTTGGTTCCCTGTCCCAAATAGTCCCCTTTCACATTCACATCACATAATATATACATGTTAGGTCTAGATTTTGCATATGGGGCTCATTTGTAAGGCTGATTGTCAATGATAAGTACATACACTACCTACATTTCCTCTGTGAGTAAGTTATTCAGAGATTTTACTTGTTTTTCTTTTTTTTTTCAGTGCTGGGAATTAAACTCAAGGCCTTGTTATGCTAGGCAAGCACTCTACCACTTGACCCACACCCCCAGCCCTTTTGTTTTTATTTTGTTTTTGAGACAGGGTCTTGCTGCTCTCTTTGCCTGGGCTACCGTTGATCTCTTCACCCTCCTGCCTCTGCCTCTGGAGGAGTTGGGATTATAGGCACGCACGACCAAGCCCAGCTGGGGTTCCTTCTCTTCTTAACTTGTGCATGCTTACAAAGTATGGCTGTTAAACTTCTGCTATATTGGTTGTCAATTCATTTCTACCAGTTTATTACTTGTATTTCAACTTTCCTTATTATATTTGTCAGCAAACAAAAGTTTTCATCATCATTACCTGGTTAAATATGGCTAAATATACTACTCTTTCAGGATCTCATGTTAGGTACATAATACTTTTAAAAGAATTATAGAATTATGTAATTGTATGTACAGAATTACATGATTCTGTAATTCCTTTAAAAGTCAGCAATATTTTTTCTAGTATACTTTAGAGTTCTAGCATTCCTTTCAGCAATTATAGAGTGAAACCTAAAGTGGTAGGACCACCAAACCAGGTGGACAAACCAGGACCACTGCTCCTCTCACTGGAGAGCTTAACATAGATTTATCAAAACTACTTTCCAAGAGGTAATGTTGATTATAGCTTACATATAGATATTTGCCTATCCATAACAACTTTCTGAATAAGTTGCTGAATTCATTATGTTTGATTTCACTGTTTACTATTAAAACCAAACATTAATTATGATTTGCTGACTGCTTAAATCAGTTCTCAAAGAATACCATAGCACACTGACTTTTAAGACAAAAACCGAGACATGCCATTAAATCCTAATGTAAGAAATGCTCTTCTAATTTACTAGCAGAAAATAATCTATGGGATAAAATTTTCTCAATTTGAGATTTTTCCTCCAGGATTTTCTCACAAAGCTTTAATGCATTTTATTTCTTACCTATAAGAAAGCATTTAATTTTGAAAAAATTCTCCAACTCCAGCAAACATTCTGAGTCTATTAACAACCTCTCAATGAGTGGCACAAATGTAGCTCAATAGCAAATGGACAAAGAGGCCACCAATTATGAATCAAGGTTTTCTTTGTAATATGTGAATTTGTAAATTAAACATTTCTTCTTTTCTATCAGCATTTCTGTAGAACCTGGGTTGACCACTGTCCATAGTATAACAGCTACAGAGTCCTATTTTTCTAGAGTAGGTCTGGATTTCTGATTCATCAGGACATGTTATAGGAACACTAACCTTTAGACTCACTCCTCTTCTCAACAACCAGCAACTCAGACCCAAGGTCTACAGGCAGGGGACACTCTCTCTACTATCTGCCCAAAGAAGGCAGGTCACATTCACTACAGAAGCAGGGCAGGCAGGAGCCATGGGAACCAGCAAGATGGTGAAGAAACCTGTCATGCTTTCCGCTTACTGCTAACATTGGGGAGTGCAGAACCATAATTAGGTTATACTCCCATTTCTCAAAAGGAATTAGAAATATAAACTTTATACAAGACTTCCTATAATTTATAAGGTTAGCAACATCTTTTAAGAGTTTAAAAACACCCTGTGGCCAAACAAGTCCTCTAACTTCTGCCCCATCACTAGTTTGTAACCTTTGCCTTAAAACAGCAATTCATTTGGAAAAACCAAAGTTGTGGTTGAGTGGCCAAAAACAGGCACACATGAATTTAATTGAATTTTGCACCCTGTTCAATGTGTGAGACTCATATACTATCTAAACTTACATATTAATACTTGATTTTCAAAAATAAGCCCACAAAACCTCATTAAAGAGTTGGTTCTTTCAAGAAAAATTCCACTGTTGCTAAATCTTTATACCCAACTGAATCATCATATAAAACACTGAGAAATTACTTTTCAACTTACTTGGATTTTGACAAAATAATTAAGAATAAATTATAAGAGTATTTTTTGTCCTATTTTCATTTTTTGTCATCTCAAACATAACAAAGTACATAAGAAAGATACAATTAAAACTGTAAAACTGACCATTTTGCAGTCAGTTTTACTCTTACTTACCTAAGGATGCATAAACAAATTTTGCCTCCTGATGTGAGTCTACAGAATCCAAATCTCTGTTTACTTTCAATGTCTGTCAGTACAAAGGTAAAGTGCTGTCCAACCTGATTTTGAGACACCCTAAAATACAGTAACATCAGGATATATCAAGCCTAGTGTGACAATTTTCTTAGAGTAAAACAAAAGCAAGAATGTATTTACATGTGCATCTATTTCACCTTTCCAGTCACGTGGTTATTGAAGCTTTAACTATGCTTTAAAACTAGATTGAGTATGAAATGTCTAAACTAAATCATGAGTCAAATCTCAAAATAAGTTGTAATATCTTATAGACTGAGCAGTTCGGCATATATTAATCCCTTACTAGGAAATCATAAAGAAGTTTGCCAGAAGTTTTCATATAAAAGTACTTGTAAAATATTTCATAAAGTATCAAAATTTTGCTATCCAAACTGTAGAAGAAGCCATACCTGACAACTGAGTCCTTGCAATCATCTAATCTCTCTTTTCCAAATTATATTTTCTTCCCTCTTCTTAACCACTTAGATAGCAAATCACATTGCTTACAACCTAATGGTAGCCACCACCAACTCTGTTTAACTGCTTCTTCTGTTGACATTATCACCCAATAAAGTACCATACAAAATACTATTGGTATTTTCTTCTTAGCATTCTCTTTTAGAGCTATCAATGTACTTAGTAATAAATTTCCAAGCATAAAATAAGAATATAATTTCTACCAAAGAAACATACTAGCTAATCTGAAAAGAATTTTAGCTGATTTTGAACTAAGTATCACAACACTGTAATACGTTGTCACATTGCAGTACAAATCATTAGATAAAAATGCTTATTTCTATTTAAAATATATGAATATACTTCAAGATACTAGCTATAATCTTGGCAGTGGATAACCATAATTGAACTTCTGGCTTCTTGTCCCCAAATAAAATATCTATAACACCTATATTTTGGCTTTAAAATGCCTCAAGGATTGTTAAAAGGGAACATTTTACTACCAATGTACCAATGCTACAAACTACTTTGTCAGAAAATACTGAATTTCAAATGCTGAACATTTAACAAATATAATTTTAAGTGGACAGTCTTTTAAAAGTTTTATAAACTTCAAATAAAACCTCCAGTGACTTCCATGCTCTCTCGTGCTCAAGATTTATAAAACCTTTCATAGCTTTTCTTCCTTTTTTTATTCTTACTATTGATTTGAAAACATAACTTGGGGAATGGGAGAGGAGAAAAATTGATTCCCCAGAAATGAGGTAAAACAAGGAGTGTCATTCGTCAGTAATACTTATTAGTACCAAGTAACCCATCATCAGAACCCTTTATTGTTAATGTAGTAAAGTTTAGGGTCTCACTACTTCTTAGCAAAATAGTTTACTAAAATAAATCTTCTTTTGAAAATCTTTCATATCACACTCTTGAAAAAACTGATAATAGGGTGTGAAAATCATATGAAAAAAATAAATGATCTGTTACTATGCTCAAAGGGGTATATATTCTATTAAATTCCAACTTCACACAAGTAGTTTGCTCAGTATTTGTTCAGTAAAACATAAACATAATAAAATTTTCAAAACTGCTAAGAAAGGTTTCCTATAGCCTCCCATAATATTGACCCATTTCTATGAAGTGATTTTTGGGAGACAACTAACCAGGAGTTTAACAACACTACACAGGTGGTCTTTTCAATTAGAATGAAATGAGATAGAAACCAGGATATATACATCTAATTTTTTATTTTTGGTAGTACAGGAGTTTAAACTCAGGGCCTCACACTTGCTAGGCAAGTGCTCTACCACTTGAGCCACACATGATTGAAGGCTCTAGTCAAGAACATATTTTTTTCTGCTAGTGCTTACAACATACACCTGAAGAATAAAAGGGAAACATGTAACTTGCTTGAAGACCTGTCCTAACTGGCCACAGTGGAGAAAGTACAAAATATAAGTAATAGAAAAGTCTTCTTCTTTCCAAAACTGTTTAATTCTGAAACTCTCATCTCTGGTTTTTCTCTAGAAAAAATGAAGATAAGGTATACTTCATTTTTGTTTTAAAAAGCACATGCAACCATTCCAAAGTTTGTGCTAGGAAAGGCTAAACATGAATAACGACTTATACTATACCTTTCAACGTCAAAGGGAAAACAGAACTTTGGCACGCTCTGTAGTACTTCCTACAAATACAAATTAAAAAACAAAGGAGAAGCTTTAGGATATTTTTTAAGAATGCAGTTAAAACTTTGAGACATTTTCTAAAAAGAAAAAAAAGGTGTTCTTTTTTGTTGTTGTTTTAAGAAAAATAGCACAGGTTCCTAGACCAAAATAATTGATTATTAAAAAGGAATTAAGTTTGTCTTTGGCAGATTGCACTGACAATGGCATGGAGGCCCCAGGAGGGAGAGGCCTGGCCTGAAGGGTATTAACACCCTTCACATCCCCGCTGGGATCCCCTTCAACAAAGCCATATGGATTTTACAAGAAGCACCACACCATATGGGTAAGCTACGTCTGCTGCTACTTGTACCACAGGCTAGCCATAGGGACTTCTGACAGATCCTGGCTCAAAACATAAATGTTGTTTCAATTAAAATGCAGGCAGAGAAAAGGGAATGAGTTGGCAGCAGAATGAATTACTGAGAGGTATAACAACTCTACATGTCCTACAGCTTCTTATTAACAACAACAAAAAAAAGACTTTCTACAGGTAAAAAGTCACATTTATATGTTTCAACACTTGGTACTAAGTTTTATGTTAACACTCTTAAAGAAATGTGTATATAAAAACAAACCTTTGAATTAAAACATAGCTTCTATTCTGTGTACTTTCACTTTAAAATTGCTTCATTTTATAACCAATGTTTACTTAAACATAGAAAATAATCTGATTTTGAAATCTTCAATGGTTTTACAGTTGTCTCGTAAATTAATCTAAATTTTTCAGAGATTATATACGTATTAACAATTACAACAAAATACAAACAATTGTCAGCCACTTGGCAAAAAAACAGAAAAAGATCTATTTTATTATATCTGAAAAACAACTTAATATTTAACTCTGGTTCAAAAATTATACTTTGGAACTGAAACCAACATCATACAAATTCAAAGCCAAGTGATCTTATAAGATAAAGCAGAAATTAACAAAGATGCTCCTATTTAAAAGCAAAAAGAACAAATATCGTAATGTGCAATCATTCTCCCCCCTCCAAAAAACACCTTAACTATGACCTCTTTATCAATAAAACTTACATCCAATGAAATCATCAATATCTGAATATTTAAACCTTCCATATAAATACCATATGAAATACTTTAAAGTAGAATTTCTCAAATTCTCTTAAAGTAGACATGGCAATAAGCAATCAATTAAAAATAAAACACTGCAGACTTCCAGTAGCAATACATAAGAAAGCCTTAACTCAGAAGCAGAAGGAAAAGCATGGTGTAAAAAGCAATCTTCCACCCTCAGGGCAGGATACCCAGGTTTGCTTATGAACATGTGTCTTAGACATCTGAGCACAAATCCTATGTTTAGTGAAAGCTATTTTACTACTGATAACATTTTGTTAAATGTAATTAAAGGAGTCACTAAATAACATAAATTACAGAAAAAATACATAACAAATAAATGAGAAGAGTTGTTTTCTACATTTGACTATTGCTTAGTCTCTATCCTGTTCAGCAGAAAGTCAAGTCATTACCGTATCTACTACACATCTGAACACTATGAAACTGCCCAATTTCTGTAACAAGAATATTCAAACTTCAATGTCTGCCTCTAAATATAGTCCAAATTAGTCATATAGCTTACATCACTTTTAAGACTCAAATTAAGAAGGAAGCTTCCCAGTTGGTTGCTCAATCTTTCACCCCCTCCCCCTCCCTTCTTCCACAAGAAACACACATGCACACACTTTTGCAAAGCAGCCTTAGCTCGCTTCCCAACTGGCAGAAGCAGCCCTCAGGGGACAGGTCTTTAAACCTCCACACTCTTTAAAATTCAACCAGCCAGCAGGTCTACAGACTAGTGTATAAACAGTATAGACAAAAAATCCTCTCTCAGCTTATGGCAGTGACAAAGCAGCTCAGCAGTTGACTGTTCTTCCCTGACACGATAAGCAGGGTTTACACAGATCAATAGCTGGAGGTCTACCTAGCTGCCAGGGCTCAGTTTTCTTCCTTAATTACAGGTGCTGTTCAAACAGAAGTTAAAAAAGAAAAGAAAGAGTTGGAGGGAGGAACACATGGATTTTTGGATCCTTTTAACAACAGTGTTAATTGAAATTACATTTCTGTAGCTATTGGGGGAAAGTGTTCATAAAAGCTGGTATTTCCAGCACAATGTTTTCATGAACACACACCACGCCTTAGATGTGCATTCACGAATTATGTGAAAGGTTCAAGGTGATGCTCTCCAGAAGTTCTGCTTCATCTGTTTATAAAAGCTTTTCTCTTTTTTTTTTTGAGATAATTATATACTTTTCTATATCCATATGGAGAGTTTCATAAAGGCTTTTCTTTTTAAAGAATTGTTTTTACCCAAGAAGAATTGAGTTCCAGAATCTCCCCAAATCTCCAAAATATAGTTTATACAAAAAGACCATATTTGCCTAACACATGTCAAAAATAAAATAGAAAATACAAGGGAGAATAATAGACATTTTTATATACATGCTATAAACAAGACAGCACTGTCATATTAACCACTAGAAACAGGGACTGATGAAAATTTATTCATTGTTTTTGTCCCATATCAATAAATTGATCTTGTAAGAGAAAAAAGAATAAACTGCTAGTGTTATGATGCTATATTAACTTTTTATCCCATGAGGTTCACTTAGTACTATAAACTGATCTAAAACAAGCATTTAAAAAAAGAACCAATTTTTTAAAAACACCAAAATTTGTTAAGTTTATATCCTGATCAAAGTTCCATAACTACAAAATCTTAGAATTTCTCTAAAAGAGGAGTCTTTACTCTCATTTCCTACATGGGAAGCAAGAAATGTTTTTCCTTTTTCTCCATTTTGCCCCACTTTTTTCCTGTTATACTAAATTAATTTCCTAATAAACTTTGCTATCATTTTCACTTACAAAAAAAAAAAAGAATTTCTCTGAACGAAATGTAAAAATCATATATTTCGTTGCTGATATCAGTAACTGTTTTTCCTCCTTCTCAACCACTCCCACCCACAACTCTACAAGGAATTAGGGGCGCCCTCTGAGGTTCCGTTCACTGAGGTTCTGCGTTTTCTTCTTCCCCATTCAATCAGGCATATCAGTCTGGTGTTCTCATAGACACCCTCCATGATTTCAACCACAACTATTAAATCTCTTAGTCTTATAATGCACACATTTCTGTGGACTCCAGAATGACATACTTACCTACTTGCTGATACTTGTTTCTAAGTATTTCCAGGCACTTCAAGCTCAGAATGTACAAAACTGAAGTTACATTTGAGTTACGTAACATCTAGAAGGACAGTACCATTGCCCAGTTCCCAAAACCAAAAACATGGCAGTCATCGGGACCGTTCCTTTTTTCTTGACCCCCATATATAATCAAAATCAAATCATTTGACAAGTCCTTTAATTGAATTTCATAACCATCTTGTTCCAAAAGTTCTCAAAGGGAGGGAAAGGTCAAGAAGGAAGATGAGAAGGTATTAGAGTCAGTTGTGTTTTTCAAAATGCATTTGACTGCTTAGACTGCAAATTCACATAGCACATATCATTAAGGAATAAGACTATGGGTTAAGGGTGCTTACTGAATATAAGCAGTATTGTGACATTGTAAGCAAAGAGTCACAAGGTCAGTTTATACAAGGACTGCTTAATTCAACATCTTCCTGAAAGACTAATCTCTCCTGCTCTGCTGTGCTATTTGTTGGCTTTGTCCTCAGCAGCCAACAACCAGCAGCCAGCAACCAGAAGGAACTGCCAGGGTTTAGCATGTCCCATGAAGACACAACAGCAAGACAGCAGTGTCCAGTGGAAGAGCAGCTTTTTCTGTCTCTTCATAGTGAGGACACCTTTCCCAGAAGCCCCACCTGAACTAATCACCAGCAAGGGAAGTGGTTATCTAGGTTTAGCCTTGGACTGGTTAGGGGAATGCAAACCCATTCACTTTCTAATAACCATGACAAGTCATTGTAAGGAAGTGTCCATGAAGTAACAAATGTTTCTCTGTAGGATTAGCATTAAGAATATTAATCAGATAATAATTAAGTCTACACTAAAGTTCTCAAGAAAAAAAATAACAAAATATTATATAAGGAAAGTTTTCAAATATTCATCATTTTATTTGTATGAATAACACTTTCAGAATTATTTTGCAACAACAAGTGATCTACTTGTCAATTTTCATCTAATTTTTCACAAAGGCCACAGATTTTTACAATGATGATTCCTTAATTTTTAACATTATCTCCCTAAATAAGTGAGATTCGATGTCGTGCATTCACTTTATTTATACTTTACATAAGGGAGCAAGAAAGTTTTTTCTGAAAAGAAATAATGCACTGAACAACTTAACCAGGAGCAGACTACACAGCCCAGAGCTGAGAACCCCACACTGTGCACTGAAGTGTTCCAGGGCATCGCAACAAACTACCAGAAACACTGCCGGATATTTTAAATTCTTAAGGGCAACACCGTTCTAGTAAAAGGGTGATTAAATTAGGAATGCATTTCATTAAAAGGGAGAATTATATTAATACATAAATGACAGAAACAGCCTCTTTGAACATCACCTCCTTTTTTGTTTAAAAGAACTGTTTGAAACTTGGAGATCCTATTTTAAACTCAGAGCAAAGAAAAAAGTTAGGATAATTGAGCCCAATGTGGGATTTTTCTCTTAGCTTTTGTTTTTTGGTGCTGTTTTAATTAGAAATAAAATCCTCTTTTACCTATCCTCCTTAAGTCAGGGTTAGTCTGTGCATTCTGATATTAACAACATTTAAGCTATTAACTACTTTTTCACTCCCAAAAATTTAAATGCATTTTCATGACAAAAATACACCAGTTACAAAAGGAGCTGCTGTAAAATCTTTTTCAAGGATTTAGATTCCAAGGGTATCAAGCTTAGGCAGATGATAAGATCTCTGTAGTCACCAATCATTTCAGTTGGATCCAAAGCCAAAGAAAAAGCACAGATCAAAAGCAGTACAGAGTG